GGGGAGAGAGAGAGAGAGAGAGAGAGAGAGAAATTTCCTGCTTTATGTATGTCATCTGCCATCTTAGAACAACCTTACACAAGTTCATATGGTAGTTCTTATATTAAATCTTACTTTTTAGTGTACGTATCTGCTGAATCCTCAACTTGCTTAGAAGTCTGTTTCTATTATGAAGATATGTTTTCCCGGTATTAAATGATGAAATTTAATTACATTAAGTTACCAAAAGTACATGCTTAGCCTGAATGCATGGAAAAATACATTATTACTATCAATCATGGCCTATATTTTCATATGATTAATATGTTACCTTGTAAAGCTTAATCTTTCTCTTTAAGGCCTAAGTTAATTTGTGGTATGTACACTAACTCCAAAATGTGTGTTGTGTTTGTTTTGTTTGTTTGTTTTCACAGTTTTTGATGATGAAGAAGAAAGCAAGTTGTCTTACACAGAAATTTATCAGGAGTACCAAGCTCTGGTAAGCATTATTCACCATTTGTGGTAGATTTCTAAGAAACAGAATTTAAAATGTTAAAGTAGTATTTAGATGAACTTCTAATTGTGTTATTTTTGTTATTTAGAATTTTCTACTATTGCCTAAGTGTTATTTAGAAATCCTTTAAGTCATAGTTCTCAAATGCATTTTTATGGTTGAACACCAGATACATAGAAAAGAAACTTTAACACACGGTCATATCTCTTATGCTGTTACATATTTTTCATTAAAATGAATATATCCACTAGCTAGAATACTGTTCTTAGCAGCTTTATAACGTTCATATTTTCTGTCAAGTTAAAAGGACAAACAGCATGATGTCTGAGAACACGTATAACTTGTATTTTGTTCACTAACGAGTCTGGTAAATCTTTTGAATTATTTTTCAATTATCAGAAAAAAATTACAGGAGATTTTTGGAGCATGTTTAAAATGCCTATAAACCAATGCACGCAGACTTCTAGCATATTATTTTGTAACAAGGCTTGGTAATACTTGATGTTAAAAAGCATCAATTGAATAAATACAGACCAACATCCATTTTTGCTCTGACCCTGAAGGGTTTCAGGCACACAGACTGGCAAAACGCCTTTTGCCTACAGGGCAAAAAATGATGAGGAATACTAGCCAGGAGTCTGGGGAAAAGGTAGAGAAGTGAGATTCTTGGGAACTGGAGAAGCTAAATTAAGTAGTAATCAAATTTAGCAATAAAAATGTTTATTTTGAACAGTTCATGAAAGTAAATAAAGCCTGACATATCAGAAAAATCAGTTTTACTATTGTAATGATTTTCCTTTGAGTTTAAAGAAATACAATGTCAGCAGAAAAGAATACACAATTATGAAAAAAATTCATATGATTCTTAGGGAAAAACCTCTTAGAAAGTAAGGCTTACACTTTTTTGCAGGTTGAAAAATTATTAGAAGACTATCTTAAAGAAGTTGGAATTAATGAAGAGAAATTTCAAGAAGCTTTTTCATCTCCTCTTGCAAAGACACACACTTCACAGGTAATTCTTGCTTTGTTTAGGAATATATAGATTTAATTTGTAGTGTTTTATTTTCACTAATATAGCAGGGTGGAGATGAAACTCTGAAAAGTTTTCTTGTTAAAACTGTGATTTTTCTAAGACGTAATGTGTTTGTTCATATTATGAACTTTGACCAGAAAAATGCGCATGACAGATATTTGTATGGTGTCAGACACCTTTTGAGATGCATCTTCTACGCTTTGTATTTTCTAAAACAAACCTCTAAGCTTACGGTGTTCCTGCCACCTTTATTTGCATATTTGTCAGCTCTGTGTTAGTCTTCTGTCCATTTACAGTAGCAGACAAACTTAAGATTAAAACAATAGACATATTCCATAAAATGAAAGACGTTTTCCTCTGATTTTATAATAAAAGGGTAAAATCTGTAAGACAAACATTGGCCTTGAGAAGACAAGGCATGGTTAGGCAGCCTTTCGCCTGCTCAAAGCTATCTCTCAGAATTGTCTCGGGTATATTGGGCAGAGGAGTGGGAGCTTCTGCTGCCAGTTTAAATTGGGCTGTGTTGACATATCTCCTCCTAGATGTGTAACCAGCTTCTTCAGAGCGCACGTTCCTCACTGACGCTTACGCGTTTGTTCAGGAAGTCGAATGAAGTGCAGCTCTAAACTTACAGTGGGAAACCCTCCAGGTTTTGTGATAATATTATTGTAGGCACGTTGATCTAAAGACATAAACCATCAAATTCTTTTCTTGACTACTAGCTCAACTTGTATGGCTGGAAAAACAGACAGATAGGAGAATTAAATATCATTATTAAAAACACGCTCCACATAATTTACATCTCAATATAATTTCAAGCAGACTGAGATGGTTACGATTTCTCTAGAGTTTTTAATTTTGTGCATATGTTCCCTCCCCACAGGCCATTTTGCAAACAGTGTTGGCAGCAGAAGATTTTAGACTATTTAAAAAAATGATGGTACAGAAAAATATTGAAATGCAATTGCAAGCTATTACAATCATTAAAGAAAGAAATGGTAAGAAGCGGTAAATGTGGGGTTTCACTTCTCATCATCTTTTTAGTGTTCTTTTGATGACTCTGTAATCCGTTCATAAATGAGTACTGAATACTGCTTCAATTCCAGTTCAAGTTAATGGAAAACATTCAGTTGATTTTACTGGGACAAGGATTTCAATACTTCGGCTTGTATTCTCAGCGACAGCTGTCTGTATTCCTTTTTAAATTAACAGATTTTTCAGTTCCATTTGTCTAAATTTTTCTCTGGAACCCGACTTAGTTTTTTGTTAAAGAATTTTGGTGACAATTTTGAGTGTTGAAGCAATTATATCAGTTCATCAACAATGACAATATTGATAGTTTGTATTATGCTACTTGCACAGCAGTGATGCTGTACTATCTGCCGTGCTTACTTTGCAATTCACACTGTACAGCTGCATATGAAAAATCCATATAGAAAGCAGAAGGTATGCTAATACAGGCATGCTTTTCAAGAAGAGAAAATCATTTACACCCAACTTTGCTGCTCTGTTGATGTTTCTGAAAGGATTTTCATCTACCCACTCCTTTCTTCCCTGTCTGTAGTTTTACTGTTTTGTTTTGTCGTCTTACTGCATGCATGTTTTTTTCAGAGACTAATTTTTCAATTTCAACTTTCATATAACAGCTAAATTTGAAAATGGTTCAGTTCGCCATGGCTGAACTGCAGTCTATAGGAAATGCCATATAATGGTCCATGCAGAGTATGGCTTCTGCTTTACCCTTAGATGTCAAAACTTCAGTAACTTGCCTTTTTGCTACTAGCAACTTGATGCCCAGGATAGAGAATCTTTCTGGAAACAGTTACAGAGAAGAAGAATTAGATGGGTTGTTTGTTTGTTTGGTTTGTTTTGTTTTGGTTTTCCTTTCTTCTCTCTACCTGAAGAATGATGCCAAATAGAGTACAAAATAATTTTCCTTAGAGTAATGCATGAATTGTGCCATGTTTTTTGTAGGTGTGTTGCCTGACTGTTTGACAGAGGGTTCCGATGTATTCAGTGAAATTGAACAAGAAGAAATGAAAATACTGAGGGAGGTTCTAAGGTAAAAAATGAATCAGTCCTACTTAGTACATTATTTTAAAATTAAAAAAAAAAAAAAAAAGTATGTAGGACCTAGCTCTTCCAGCCCTTTCCAGGAAACTGCGTTCATCTTACAGATGACATGAATGTTCTTGTCAAAATCCTACCTAAGAGAAAATGAATGGTGCTAGACAGTGGGTGTGATCAGGAATATTTAAAGACTGAGAGATAACTGCACTGCCATGATGAGCTGTCTTGGTGATGCATCGAATGATGTGCAACTTTAAGAGCCCTGTCTTTTCCATTCTCCCCTGAATCTCCAAGTAGACCTAAAGTTAGACCTGGGTTAGATGTCTCTGGACAGCAGGAGGACACTAGCAGTAATCCATTCAGGGAACACCCTACACGTTAAAGCCTTGGAAAGGCAAATTCTGCTTTTGCAGTAGGCTTTATTCCTTTCTACAGCTTCCTTCTTAGTTGTGTGCAATGACTGTTGCTATGATCTAAGAAGATGTGTGAGGACTGATACAACTTCTATAGATTCTCCTGCACTCCCAATTCACATATATATAAACATAATCTTAGACAAATAATAGCCGATGAATCCATTCATGTTATATTAAATTACGCTGTTTTCCCTCTGTATTCTGGAAATACTTCCGTTCCTGTCTTTAAACAAGCAAATGAAACTAGGGATAGATAAGCCCTGGAAATTCTTACACAATTATTTTTGCACAAGGAAAGATAGACTGAGGACGGTGGGTTCTGTGTGTTTATTGTAATTATTTATTTCTATTAAGAGTGCATTTTCATTTAAGTCATGGAAGTATTTTGGATACTAACAAATTTGTATTATCTTGTAATTGTTTTGATAGTCCTCAAATATTTAAGCAGTACTAAATTTCCCTAAGAGTCACTAACACTAAAGAAACGTTGAGTATTTACTTGTATTTTGTGTTACAGAAAATCTAAGGAAGAATATGAAATAGAGCAAGAAAGAAAGAGGACTGAAGAAGTGAGTATCTTACCTTTCCAGATGAGTTATGTTGATGATTAAGAAATACTCTGATATTCCTGTCCTGGGTGTCAACCGTATCACTTTAAGGCAACGTGTACCGTCCTAAGCAAACAAAAGGTCTGTCAGGAAGGTCTTACTGACACTTCTTTTTGAAAACTCTCTTCTGTTGTTCACGTTTTTCCTGATGGTATCATTGACACTAGTGCTATACACGATACCGTTAACCACCAGCCATTTGGTGGAGCTCATATGATAAGTGTATTCCCTCTTCAGTATCTGAATTCTGAAATCCTGGTAACGGATGTCAACCTTTCAGATCCAGAGAACATCTGAATTACTAATATTGTCAAGATCAAAGACACTTCAAAGTATAAGCTTCTTAGAGATTACAGCATTCATAATCCTTCAGGAATTGTAAGCATCACTTCGTAGACAGTATAGTTATTCATTAAGTCTGCATGATACTGCCAGAACCTAATCACCAGGAACCAGAAATCCTCTCCAAGTTAGACCACCACTTGGTCTCCATCAGAGTAAACCATGTAGAAAGGTAACTGAATGTAAACGGGGACTGGCTAAATTGCCAATCATTCAGCAACTGAGAAACAAATTGAAATCGGCTACAGTGGAATCGTGGCAATAAACCTCCCCTTCACTGGGAAAACGTATAAAAATAGCTGGAATTGTAGGCGGTTTCAAAAGGGAGCAGAATCGCTCTTCTATTCTTTTCTGTCATTAGGAAATCAAGCATACTACATTTGAAAAGAGAAAGCACTCTCTCTTCAGCCTGAACTGACAAAGGAAACCGCCTGGAGACCAAATGCAGCTACTACAGAGGTCGACACTTCATTTCCAATCCCAGTCCCCAGTTCAAACCCATGATAGGTGCAGATGATAGCTGTGCTATTGAATGCAAGTCCAAAACAGTTGGGATATTTTACCAAATTAAACGTCTCCCCCAGTGTGACACTGTAGAAAAGTGATGACAAAACTCTTCTTTCCCACATTACAATGATAGATTCCAGGAAACACATCACCTGTTCTACTGGATTTCTTAGAAAACCTGGAAACTCAAGCTTTGGCTCATTTTAAGAATTCAAGTTATATTGAGATGCAGGCTTATCCAAATCTTTATAGACCAGCCAGGAATATCAATATTCTTGATAAACAAGCCACATTACAGAGGCCCCAGTCAAGTTCACCGGGACAGAGAAGGTGATAGTTATTGTTCAACAATATGTTTTTGTTAGAGAATGTTTTAATACAAAATAATTTAATATTTTGATGAATGCTGGGGGGTTCTGACATGAATTAGATGATTGATGAGCAGCGTAGACATTTTCTGGGCAAATCCCAGCTGGTTTTATTATTTTGAGAGGTGGGTTGCGTTGTCAAGATTTCCCAGACAAGCGTAGAAGTGAAACAATAATGTCAGAGATTATCCAGACCTGTTGTTTCCATTCAGCTGATTATTTCTCTGTTTCTGTGGTAACCTCGGTATATGTTCCTGGTTCTCGTATTGTATTTTTCTGGTGGACAGAGGTCTGCTTGAAAGTCACAGGCAAAGTGTGGCAAAAAAACTCTACATTATCTCTTTGTAGCTGGGAAACAAATCCCAATTTACCTAATATTCTAAATTCTGATTGTTGATTAGGGAACAGGTTTTGAACGAAAATAAAAAATGCTGACTTATGGCTATAAGCCAGTAAGAACCTTCCTGTTAGTCAAAGAAAATAAGTAGTTTGCTTTTGTTCACTTTGACAATGCAGTATGGAGTGTAGACAACACAATTTTAACAGAAAGTTCTTTTGAGAGCTTTCTTTGTGTTGACAGTTTAATGCCTGAAGTACAGTGCCAGGAAATGTAATGCTTTGTTTTGTTTGTTTGTTTAATTTAAGGCACGTGATAAACTTAAATCAGCAGATGTTACCTACAGTCTTCCAGGAGAGTCGAGAGAAGCTGTTAAGGAATCCACTGAGGGAGCTGATGATTCTGAAGAAACTCCAAAATTGCCATTAGGTAATTTTATAGGAAAGTGCAATGCTGAGCGTGCAATATGATACTGTTTTCAAATTATCAGAGTCCGCTTATATCAGGACTTTAAGAACTTGGCTGGATAAGGCTGTGAATAAACCACCGTAGCTTTGAAGTTAGCCCTCCTTTGAGCAGGGTATTTGCACTAGGTGGCCTGCAGAAATGCCGTCCAACCCGAGCTGCTTTATTATTCAGTGATGTTATAAGTCAGCTCCAATGGGAGGAGAAGTACGGGAGTCTAACAGCAGTTTTCATCTTTCAATTTACTGTGCTTCTGCTGCCGTTACTGTTAAGAACAATATGGTCCCTGTAAGCAACTATGAATCATTTACTTAAAAAGTTATGCTTTCTCTCCCTGTGTGTGACCATTATAGATTTAATTTATAATTGCATAACATTTCTCGATAGCAATCAAATATTTCTGAAGGAACCAACCTTAAACTTAGAATTCATTCAAGCCAAATTGTCAGACACCAAACAGAATCTTTTTGCCTTTGGTTCAGATTTTTCTTACTCATTTTAATCTTTTCAATTTTACATTTTTGTTTTTGAGTGGGATTGTGACCCTTACCAACTGATAATACCAAGGAGAGCTCTTTTAAGTAGTCTTGAATTTTACCCAAGTTATGTAGTGAAAATTGGCGGAATTGTTTTGTAGAGGATTATTTACTGGAGAGCATGACCACACCAGTGCTTTTACAGGGAGGAGAAAAAAAGGAATCACCAAGAGCACCTCCATCACAACCGGTATGTTTGTGTTGCAGCTAAAGCACAGGGTGCTGACCTGTTCAGGAAAGCAGGAAAATTCTTAGGTGATAAAAAGCATATCTATGTCTGTGTATATATATGCACACACACGTATAGGTACGTATGTATATATACACACACGTATCTATGTATATAGGTATACATAGGTGATCTTCGAAACCAGGTTGCGTTTCCATGGGATTTGCTTTCTTATGAGTTTGTGAAAAAAAATTTGTAACTTCCTATGCTAAGTCACTTCCAAGAATATAATTCCAACTTCGGGAAGTAACGGTTTGTGCTGTCTTTAGTTACATTTTTCCTGTGTCTGGTACTTGTCTTTGTATGCATTCACACTGCAAGTTCTCATATCACAGACACTTGAGCTGGATGCTTTTAGCCTTGGCGGCAGTACCTTTGGGGCACACTCGCTCCTTGCTTTTTCATTTGATGGCTGTTAACAGATGAAGCGGTTGTAGGACCCTCTCTTAAACTGAGTTAGTGTCTTTGACATCAGGAAACTTAAAAAAAATTGTGTCACTGACCTTTTAAATACTGCCCCCCCGCCCCGTTTTATCCCTTCTGTCCTTCTGCTGAGGTTTTGTTACATGTATTTGAACTCTTCTTTCTCCCTTCCGCCCTTGGAAGCACACAGGAGGCCTGCAGGTGTACTTGCACTCACTTCTTCTCCCAGCCTGCTTTTACTCTTATTTTTGCATAGCCGTGCCACCTTGTAATGGCACCACTAAATTATGTCTGCCCTGCAGTGGCTGTTTCCCTGTTTCAGGAGGAAGCAAATATTCTGTCTGCAGGACTAAATCCCATGCTTGAGAGGGACACATTGTGGAGCTCAGGAGTCAAGACTTCTCAGCACTGTGTGCAGCCCTTCTGGGCTGTCCAAGTGCCTGCTCAGCTGGTGCTGAGCATTCCCGTGCTCTTCAGAAGCCAAAGAAGGGACACGTCTACAAAAAGTTTAGCGCCTTGGAAATCATCTTCATCCTTATAGAATTGGCATCTTGTGGCAGCATAGCTGTCCCAAGAGGCTACTGAGAAAGCTTGTCACAGTTTATCCTCTGGTATCAGCTTTCAGAAAAGTGGTTTTGGGTAGTGGTGGCAAAAATCAAGAAGAATCGGTACTGGGAATCATCTTCTTCCAGACCCCTTTCTCACACAGAACTGAGGACCGGCCTCCAGACCACTCTGTCATTGCCTGCTTCCAAAACACAGGCTCCCAACTAAAGGTTCATCTAGGATAACGGGATCATATCCTCTGCTTGACTTGCTTCCTCTTGGTGCCAGATACAACTCTGGACCTAGGGCGTATCGGCTGCCTCGGCAACACGGCCCTAGTGTGAACCAGTTCTCGGAGGCAGGAAAAGGAAGAACTTGTTTTCCTTTGGTCTTCCTTTGGTTTTCCTTCCCTCCAGTCTGGCATACGTTTCTCTTCCTTCAGATACACAGCGGTTTCATTGTCTTTTGCTATTTCCCCTTCACCCTGAGACCCAAGATCTCAGTTTGTGGACCCCTTAAAGTTTTCCACTTTAACGGTAGCTGCCTTCATTTTCTTAATTTCACTTTGGTGAGCCTCTTACAAATAGTTTACAAATAGAGCTTGCAAACTCATTCCTCCTGTACTTTGACCACCCAAGTTGTTGCACTAGGGAGAGATCAGAAGGGGGAATTTCATTGTCAAGGTCATGCTCGGCACCTCGGAGCGCAAGCGGCCTTTCCAGCACTCTTGGAGAACGCCTCCCTTTCCCGATACCTGCAGGGCAGCTGCTTCAAAAGCCACACTCGTGTTCGCACCGAGCTGCGTGTATCATGCGGATAAGAAGCATGCAGCATCTCCTGGAGCGGTCCTGTGTGCTTGCATTTTGAGAAGATTCTGGAGTAATTGTCCACATGGAAAAGAGTGTTGCTTAGTCACCCGCAGCGTGAACGTACATATAGACAAGTCCTCAAAGGAGGAAAAGCGTTACGTACCAGTAACTGTAATTCTTTGAGGTGCGTTGTCTGTTTGTACGTTCGCTATCCGCCCTCCTTCCCTTCTCAGTATCTTTTCAGGTTCGTGGGTTAAGTGACACTGAGGGTCCTATGATCACATCTGCAGGTACTGCTAGGACACAAGCGCCTCCAGCTCGAGTGTCTGCGCTATGGACAGCCACAGCGTAAATGTACATACGCACACCCCATTGCAAAGAACTGCTTCCTGGTAAGTAGCTTTCCTAAGCGTCGCGTTGGCGAGGGGGCAGGTATTTGGCATGCAGTGTGTGCTTTTTGCCTTTTTTTCTCCACCGCCGGCTTTTTAATAGGACAGCTATAGTGTGAGGATTTTTTCTAGCGATTTTAACTCTGACCTCTCACAGTGCCTCTAAGACCTTTTATCCATCACAAAAAGACATTCTTTGGAGCATCGAGACTTCCAGCAGTCCTATTTCAGTGAAATGCAAATTCTTCAACTTGACCTTTGTTTTACATTTCTGTCCTGGTTTGTTTTCCACACGTTGAATAACATTTCCTCTCTTTTGCTCTTCTCCCTACCTTTTCACAATTATGTGTCTTGTCATTTTCTGTACTAAAGAAAGCAGCAGTGTTGAAGAGCTGAATGTATATTACTTGCTTTAACTTAAACGATTGAGTGGCGTTTACCCTGCACCAGCTTCAGTGGAGCCAGCTTTGCCATCTCTCCGGCAGAGACCAAGGAGAGGACTCCTACCTTAATGCTCGTGCAAATTATTTCCCGGCATTACAGCAAAAAGCCATAGTCCAGCACTGTAGAATTATAATCTGAATTACATTGTTACACATATCAACTCGGATATTACGGATAGACTCAAACTGGCTGAACACAGTAAAATTTGTATTTCACTACCTGTATTCTTGCATCTTTATGGATATTTTCAGGCATATTTTAAAACAGTCAAAAGCCTCTTCATTTTTAATGAAAGTACAGCAAGAGCAGCAACTTACCTTACTCGGGAGTAGCTGTAGGTCAAGTCAAGAGAATCTTAGTAAAGTTCTGAGCACATACCCTGCTCGCAGTCCGGTGCCCGGAGAGGCTTTGACTCCGACGTCAGTAACCGCGATGCCATCTCAGACACCGCGGAGCTGAGCGGGATGCAAGGCAAAACCAGCCTCGGTACCTGCAGAGATACGGAGGGCACAGCTGGGATCAGTACAGGCTTACTTCCCTGTGTCAGCACAGGCGGCATTTGCCCAAGACAGAAAGCGAGAGGCGAACAGGGGGTCGTGCCGAACTGGCATCTTGCATCCCGCAGGTGGATGCGAGCGACCGAGCTGCGTCGCTGTAACGCTTTGCACCTCTTGAGCTTCGCTTCCCCCCTCTCCCGTATGAGTTCACTTCAACGCAGTATTTTCCGATTCTTTTCTCCGAAGCCGCAAGCTGACCCTGTACGCTTGTGCTTAGGGCGGGCCGAAGCGCGCCTGACAGGCTGCTGGTTACTGGCTCGGCTCGCCAAGGCAGAAACAGAAAGTACGATCGCAATGGGAACTGACTGTCGGAACGCTGCATATGAAACGACATTCCAAGCATTTGACAATTTATAATTCATTGCAGTAGAGGTACTTACGATGTAAAGCATTATCTAACTGCTGTCATAATACAAATAGAATATCTATGCTTTTTAAAAGAAAGTTTTATTAAGAAAAAAGGGAAAAAAAAAATCACATTTCTCCCCAAGTTTTCCATTTCATCAGAAGAGACATCTGGATATTGGAAGAACACCGATTTATTTTTTATTTGATATATTTCTATTCTTTCTAATTGTTTTCTATGTAAAATTGCTGCTTAGAGGAATCTCGGAAATCTGCGAGGAAAGACTTAAAACCGGTACGCCCATTACAAAAAGGAGCAGAAAGCTTCCCTCAGCCGTCTGGTACCCAAGGGAAAGACGACATGAAGAAGAAGTCAGCTGGAAAAGGTTCAGAAAGTGCAGCGCAAAAAGCTGGGATGAAAGGACCTGTAAGTGTAAAACAGACAAACGAGAAAAACCCCAAGCGTAGAACTAGAAGGCAAAGAGACAGGATTACATTTAGAATATATATTTAAGACAGTATTACGTTTAAATAGATATTTTCTGTTCTTGTAATCAGGTGGTTTTGATTTGGGTTTGTTTGTTTTAAAACCAGCATGCAAACACTGTGTTATGGTATTTACCAGTTTAATTTGCATGAAGCTCAGATCATCATTCTAGCTTGAGAACAGAACTCAGTATTCAGCCTTTGCCCCGTGATAATTTCTCAGTAGACAGCTCTGGCTTGAACATTCAACTTGGACTTTTTTTTTTTCAGCTAGTAATTTTGGAGGCAAACGTGATGTAAATGCTTTTATCTCACAAACACATAACGTGCATACCAAAAGGTAATCTCAAAATGTATTCTAAACAAAAAATTTCCAGAATTTATCAGAACTTGAAGAAGAGCAGCTGAAGCAACGAGAAGACTACCTAAAGAAAAAACGAGATATGCTGATGGCTCTAAAGAACGAGTCACGACATAACGCCCTGTTGCCGACGAACGCTGACCGGAAAGAAGAGGAATCGTCTCCTACAGAGGTGAAGGACTGAAACATTTTAATCACCCTGACCACTTTATAAAAACCACAGGTTATTTCAGTGAAGATGGAAGTGTTGCTGCTGAACATTGTAGCAGGGTAAAAGCAACAAGTGGGGGAAGTCGGGAGTGGGTATTTTCAAGGTACTGCTTTTACAGAAGCTTATAGGCTAGAAGTTTTAGTGATCGTTCGCGTTATTTTGCTTCACTATCATCACATCCTCAGGATTAATTAAGTTTATGAACGGCTAAAATGCCGGTTTTCTCCTCATCTGTGACCTACTCTTCAGGCTGCCTTAAATCCCTGGGATATTTTTTTCCCCCCAGCTGAAGTGGGAAAAACATTTTTCTTTTGCAAAGGCTTATTTTACAGAGGTAACAAATTTGCTCTGTTCTTGTGATCCCTTTTGAGAGTTTTGTGCCTATTTCAAATTAAGAAATCCTTGATTTCTATCCATCAGCCGCTGGAATAGAAGCGACATGATGAAAATACTTGGGAAAAAAGAAGTAAATCTTATCAGGGAAAGAAAGTACGGACAGAAAAAACCCAGCATCCTATGGGAGGATAAAGTCCTACCAATATAGAAAAGTCCTACCAATATAGAGGTCTTTATCAGGAAAAAAACAACTTTTTTTTTGTTAATCATTGTTCTGGTTAATATGACTTAATGCATTTACCACAAATAGGTTTGATCTGCATTTATATAAAAAGAAATGCTTGAAAACTCTCAACACAAGTGAGGAAACTAGTAACAGACCTTAAAACCCACACAAAACAATAGGGTAACAGTTCTGTTAAAAAAAAAAAAAATCACTACTCTTCATTACAGAGGAGCAGCTACTTAAGACCAGAGACCTTTATCGCCTCAGGTAGTTTTCAGAGTTGCCGAGCATTTTATTATGCTCAGAACAGGCCCAAAATACTGGGGAACTTCCAAAACAAGTAAGCAGCACCCGTCGAATTTGAGGTTAGGCCTCTCGGACAGGCTGGTGCAGTGCAGCGGGGAAAAGGCAGCTGGAGGTAAAGAGCCAGTCGGCCACATCCTGCCATCCGCTTCTCAAGAAATGGAATAATGGTATTTTTTTAAACCATTCTGGATAGCGAGTGAGTTTGAAGGACTGCTGCTGTAGCCTCGGGTTCGCAAGCGATGTTACTTGGCCGCTCCCGTTAGCGACCCCGCGTGTCAGCGACCTGCTCCGGCTCACGCGTTTGGGCGGGAGTCGGGGTGCTCACCAGGGAAGCCGGGCAGCTTACTGCAGCGTTCTTGTGCTTTGTTTTTAGGAAATTTCAGAAGAGAAGCAAAGGCTACTACAGAAGAGGAAAATGCTGGCAGAAAAACTAAAAGAAGAAGTTATTAATAAGCGGTAATTTTAAGGAGCTCATTGCAGAACCCAAGAGCATCAGTATGTTTTTAGAATAAATTCTATAAATAATAATTGAACGGATTTGTTTTCCAATATTACACTTAATTTTATAGCACTTTCAGACAAGCAACTCAGTACTTTATATGTATTTAAAATGACACTGATACACACTAAAAACACTGATTTCCCAGCACGCTGGCAACTCGCTTTCACTGGAACGCGTTCACAGCGAGGCCATTAAACATCGCAGCAGCACACGGATGGTTGCAGCTACTGGCCTCAGCCGCTTGGTATTATGTAGAACAAAAGCCGATACGGAGATCTGTTAAAATAATTCCTATGTGAACAGCTCTGAATGAGTTAGAAACTTCAACTTTTTTATTTTTAAAATTATAGAACTTTGTTCCTTTTATTAGAATATTATAAACAAGTTACTATTTTTCAGCTATGCAACAGAATAAAGTAATTTCACAAGGAAGGACAACTACGACCATCTTACTTTAGAGAAACATAATGCAGCTTGAAGTCGAGACATTCACGTTATTAACTCTGGCTGACATCGTTTTACATCCTTCTGGGGCAGCCGGCCAGTCCTTGGGTCCAATTTTGCTGTAAATGCAACTCTAAGTAAAAATAATTGCTTTAGTTGCAAAGCTAGGGGCGGCACGAGCAGTTCAGTTTGAAAACAGACATCTTTTAAAAATCTTATTTACTGGTTTGGCTTTGAGAGACAAAGCAGGGAAGAGAGGCTGTCGTTTGCACAATGTCATTGCGTAGCTGACCGCAACAGTAGCTCACATTAAAAGAAACAACCCAACCGCTTCAAGTTTCATGTAACTTTTTATTAAAATAGCATTTATAACTGATACACGTTGGCAGATGTTCTTTTCTTTTCCAAAAAGAGCGGTAGTGGAAAGACCCCAGGCAGGAGAACACGGCCGCCCACGGGCGGAACCCAGGCAGCGCCGACCAGGTCAGACTGGGAAACAGCATCGATGGGGCGACAGCCCCGACAAAAGCCCGTTAAAGAGTGCTGCGTGTCACCTTCTACAGGGATTTTGTTTTTGTTTTTTCCCCCAAACGGGACATGTAATGCCACTTTACACAGTCTTTTTCTAGTAACTATAAAAATTCATGACACTCCTGGTTTTGCTGTAAAAAAAACCAAAAAACCCAAAACAACCAAAAAAACACCCCTCCTCATGTTGGTCGGAATGTATTTTTAAAGCTCCTGACAGTACTTCAGGGAAGAGGTGGGGTGGTGGGGATCAGAGTAAGCACTAACAGGCTTCAGTCGGAGACCCTCGGAGCGCTCGCTTTGGGTGGCTGTTAAAGAAAATCAGGACAACTCGGGTCCACACACCAGGCGACGTAGGTTTTCAGCCTCAGGTTAGCAAAGGCACGTGCTGCTCAAGTGGAGTGTACGGCGTGTACAGCACTGGAGGAAGCGAATCATTACCGACGGAGAGAAGAGACTCATCGGGAAGAAAACCAGACAATCGTCAGCGGGAGAGCGAGCACACGGCGACGAGGCTGCAGCCACGCTTTACCAGCAACCGCTTCCTCGGATCCTCGGCGCTGGGAGCCGACCGGGCGTTTTCTCGCGCAGGTGAAGAACAAGGAGGCCCGTTTTCGGGTCCCTGCAGCCCGCAGAGGGCAACGCCATCGTCCCCAGGTCCACGCACGGGAACTGTCATCCATCGGAACACCTGCGTCTAGCTTACGCGTCGGGAAGAACTCGCGCCTTCCCTTTGGGATTTCATCTAGTGGTATCGAGTTACTCTTTGAACTGCACGGATAACTCATCTTAAAAAAGATTCTAAAATGGCCACATTTAAAATTCTGGGTTAACTTACCGTGTCCAACAAACCAAACAAAAGCAATAGTTATGGAATTACAGGGTCACATTTTAATTCCTGAATTGTACAGTTCAGCATTAATATCACCACATGTATACAAATGGTGTAAAACAAGTACAGTGGTATTTTTAATACAAAATAAACTTCTGTTTTATGGAAAAAACTATACTTCATATCTACACAGACAGCCCATCTTTTTCCAAACAATAGCTAAAATTAAAATTAACTACAAAAAAATCTCCAAAACAGAGAAACTGCTTCAGTTTAAACTATTCCAGGAGAAATGGACCCATAACACATATTACAAGAGTGATCTATGTGGTGGATTGCAGCTGCTTTCATCTTTTGACACTTCTGACACATTAATTGTCGTCGGGAAATTTCCTCTCGCTTCATCATGATCTCAGATCACATATGGGCAAACTAACATTAAAATATTTACAGTTCGCTTGCTGCTCTTGAAAATAAAACCGGGACTGTTTGCCTCTATCAACTCGCCCTCAACTCACCTATTTCTGTCGCAGTTTGCTTACCTACTACGTGGAATGTGCTTTTATTTTTTAAAAAAAGCAGCTTTCGTATTGCGCCCAGCTTCAGGTGCTGCTTGTTGATTCTGCCTCAAAGACCAGTGTTCTGTTAGTAATAATTCCGTCTTGGTCCAAAGTGACTTTGGTGTTAAAACGCCGCTAAATTCATCGCTACGAAAAACCTGTTAGTGTTTCTTACTACCACCTCAATTACGCAATTTAAACTTGCAAACAGGAAACCGGCTTGCTGCTCCGAGAGGAGACGGCTCGTTTAGCAACACGGACAGCGATTCAAACTCGCCGTCTTCCGCCACGCGAAGCCGACGGCCGTTGGGGCGCGCCGGCTCCAGCGCCGCTTTGACACCAGGGGCTCCCCGGAGACATTTTGGAAGCGACCGTTCCTTGGCATAGGAATTACTGGATGTCTCACCGAAAAAACAAGCAAAACCATCCATTTTGAATCCAGCTTCCATTTTCTCCTCTTGAAAAAATACAAATTAAAACTTATTTTTAACTGCTTTTAAACAACTCAACATGCACTATAACGGCAGCGTCCCTCCCGCCAACCATGAGAAATGCGACTTAACTGGTAAGAAATGGTCCCAAAATCTGGATTGTTCTTATGCAAACAGAGTTAGTTCTCCCGTCCATTTTTTTTTTAAAAGAGGCATTGCTAAAAGAACACAACTGACAGCACCATTACAAAATTAAGATTACTGGGTTCAAAATTTAAGCTTGCAATTTTTTTCCTAGTTCTGTTAAACACTGGGGAAACCCTGCAATATTTTTAAAAAAAGTGTTTACCATACCTTTCCCTCCCCCTGCCCTCCCGACACCTGAGACTTTCCTTGCTGAGAAGCCATCATCCAGGTTCTGTGAATACTAACCCACTTTTTTTTTTTTTAAATTTTTCTTTTTTTTGACAGCCTGAATGGCAGACTCCTTACGTACTAGAAAGATATTCAGTTCCTTGGAAGCTTTGTGTTTACAGAACTAACCCTTTCTAGCTGATACACTGAGTTTCTTTTGCTACTCCTTGTATTGTCTTATATACCCATGGGAGAAAGCTTTCTGAATCAGATTCTTTTTAGCTCTTGAAACGGTTGCAGCATTTGAAACCCCATAATAAGAGTTTTTATTCCAAAGTTTTGGTTTCATTTATGAACCCAGACGAGGTCTTTTCCTTGGAGATGTCTCCTCCTCTTCATCATCATCTTCATCATCAGGATAATCCACTAGGCCAACTAGACTTCCCTGTCAATTTAAAAAACAAGAGAGGAAAAGAAAATCTCACATTGAAAAAAATGCCCAGGAACGTGCAATTTTAGTACATGACCCCCAGCCAACCTGTCGGGGACACACGAGCCCGCAGAAGGCTTCTTGGTAATAACGTCTTTTGCATTCAAAGGCCCACTGTCTTGAGAATGGTTTTGAGCCTCAAGGTTAAAAAGGTACTGGACCTTCCCTGCTCCTCTGGATCCGGCCTCAGAATTATTTAAAAGTCACTTTATAAGCTCCCAGCTGGACACTCACAAAACGTAACGGAAACACCGCACATCCATTTGGCTGGCAAGTCTTACGTGTGCGTAAGGCAATTTTTGCCACGCTTCTGTAGCCTCTCGGGAGCTTGCAGGCTAAAGATGAAACTAATGCACGACTGCGTAAGACCTAACGGAGGTATCACTTACTGTGTTTCGTCTGCTTAAAAACACTGATGGGGGGGCACTAACGTAATTCAGAAAAACCAATCTCGTATGTACATCGCACGCCCAGAGCAGCGACCGGACAGTTAGAACCGAGGAGCGGAAGCCGTTACATTAGGCAGAAGATGCGAGATTAAGCTGTGCCCACCAGCCTCCCGACAGACTCCAGTCCCACCTAATACTTCCTTAAACCTGCCCCCAAACTAGGAAGGGTTTAACTAGACAGGGCTTTGGATGAATTTGTACCTAAGTAAGACACCCTGCCTAGAGGCTACTGCTAACCTTACCACATTACAGCCGGTAAAGGCTCATGACACTGCTGCGCTGTCCTAAGCGAGGACAGCAGCTTTTGTACAAGTTCCCCCACCTTCGTGGCCGTCACCGCTGTGGTCAGGGTCACGTTCTTTGAAGAGGAGCCGTTGGAGCTTGCTGGTGACGTCTGAGCTGCCACGGATTTACTGTTTGCACCGTTTGCACCGTTGGCTGCGCTGGCTGAGTGGGAAAAAGTGAATTTGAATCCCCCAGCTGAAGTCCTTTTTGGAAGATTCTCTTTGTCTTCACTCTCCTTAGCTGAGGGACAAACATTTTCACGCTTAAGTATCAGCTGTACACCGTGGAGTACAACCCACATCACCGCATCGTCACAGGGCAAAAGCTGCCTTTTTTTTTTTTTTTTTAAACTCAGTTTAAATCAGCAGCTCGGCTACTGACCTCATCCCAAGCACGCGGCACGCAACCTGAGAGCGGCACAGACGCCGGGGACATCGCTCACGCAGCGCACACAAGTACATGCACAGTTTTGCTTCTGAATGTCATTTAAACTAGATGCACGCCTGGAGCAATTGAACTCCTTATTTTAATCCTAAACTAGCTTGCAAAGACGTGTTAGGAATTCGTTACTTAATTACATGGAAT